TATCGTCCATGTAAAGATCTCTCTGCGCGACTTCTTTACCTATAGGGAAACGGTGACCCTCATCCTGTACTAGTTGCGAGACAGTGCGAAAAGCTAAAAATGGGCTACACTTTAGTCCAAAGGCTACTCTATTGAATTCCAATGATTTTATTGAATTTTGAATATCTGAACCACCTCCTTATTTGTCATACCGACTGAAGCGATATAAGATACGCTGAAAACGTCGATCTTGCTTACGGACGCCTATCCTAAGATACATCTGTCTTACGTCGGCTGTGATAGCAACAGGTAATAATCTCATATTCATTAAGATTGTAAAAAGGTCGCGTTGAAGATTGGGACCGGCATATAAAAGGTCATTTAAGGAAAATCTACTACTAGACTTAGCACTTGCATCCAGGACAGATCAGATCGATGTTGATAGTTTATCATCCCTAAGAACCACGTGGTGTGGCATGTAAAAGTGTAGAGGATCTTTATCGGCTGTATCAATAGGAGATAAATAACCTTGATCTATATAATCCTTAATTACACTGTCGTACGCCTCTCTTAGAGCGGGCTGAGCAGCAAACCTACGCTCCAAATGTAAAAATCTACGCCTAGCAACTTCCAAAGAATTACCAATAAAATCTGGACTGAATTTGAAAGGTAAAGCTACTTCGTAGCGTCCGGAAGCAGCACGCGTGACAGTCTTACTATAATTTTCTTCGCATGTTTTATCATCAGCACTAAAGATATACTTAGGATCAATTTCATCGAGTTCCCACATTTTCTTAACTAGAGTCTCGATCTCAAATGTTGAAATAGCATGAAACGCTACGGTGGCTGGGGCTTGAACCTGGATATCCGCTGGAGCAGCTCCTAGAACGATGTACCCCAAAACGGTCTCAAGCGCGTCCGGAGAACCGGGCTCCTCGATAATTCTACCAGGTCGTAGCATCTCTGCAAAAAGACTTACGCCTATTAAAAAATCTATTTCTCCAGGCATACCCCAGCCATCGTCCGCCATGGGAATACTACGCAGATTTTCAAGGAATCTAGTATCGACATTACGCTTTGGTAAATTACTAGTGATTCGATTTAACACTAGAGCCTGAATATTAAATTTTGTATTATTGGATCGAGATCGAAATGAAACATTTACCGCCCCCTTGACTATCTCTGATGAGCCACCTATTCCCTTCACCGTTACGGGTGAATTAGATTCGACCTTTAGCTGTAGTTTTGAACAACATTTTGTTGTTATATAATGTTTCTGGGAACCAGGATCCAGTAAACATCTAACTATTACATCGCGACCATTGCGACCCGTGGCATAAACCTTTGCGGTTGCGAGAACTTGCGTTATTGATAATGAATCACATTTTGTAGAAGACAGCGAACAGTACGATACTTCTGGATTTCCTTCTCCAACCAAATAACCGTCAAGCACTTGATCAGAGGAAGACTCTTCTTCAAGTTCTAGTGAGTTCAGTATTTCACTAGTATCATGTTCCTCGTTTATGGCTACAGTGGCGGTGCACGACTGCGCTGGAAAGGTTCATTTCCAAAATGAAGCAACGTGTGATCTCTGGCGTTACACTTGAGGCAAGAAGTGTTTGAGTTGCAATAAAAAGAGGTATGTTGGTTACTCAAACAATTAACACAGTAACGATTGTCTTTAACGAATTTAAATTTGTCGGCAGCCGAAAGGTTAGCAAAATGCTTACATGCATAGAGATGCGTATGCGCCGTGTTGTTGCAAAGCTTACATGGCCTAGTACGAACTTGGGTCTGCTGCGTGGAAACTAAGGCGCGTGGCGGCACGGTTAAATTCCGTGAGCTAGATGGGCGACTACCCAAGTAGGTATGCGGTGCCATGGAACTGCCACGAGTCTGTGATGAAGTGCTGGTTCGATACAAAATTTTTACCTGTTCTCGTAAGAACTTGACAAAATCGTCGTATTTAGGCATGTCCGTTTGACTACGAAATGCTGTTTCGAAACACTTCGCAGTATCGCAATCTACGAGCTTTAGGCCCATGTAAACAAAAATAAAGTCACTTAAATTATCTATATTAAGTGGTTTGAGTGCTGCGATTGTGGCCGCGTATTTATCTACCAATTTTTCTAAATTTATTGCAGAGGGACCGTTAATATTTTTAATGCAAATAACTGATTTAGATATGTCGTAGATAAAGCTCTGTTATCCTTGTATTTGTCTAGTAACGTTTGCTAAATAATTATGTAATTATCTGCCGCCAGGACTATACCAGCACATATGTTATATATGTTGGAGTTGGTAAAATAGTTGTCTACATTATCGCATTAGGTGATAAACCTGTAAAGATAATTGTATAGTGGCAAATAAATAATAAATAAATGTTTTGCCTTTCCGGAAAGGTGGCTTATTAAATAATCAATACGTTCCGAATCCGTTTTCCATCCGTCCATCCGTATTTTCTTGTATAACACGTTTAAACGTTTCGAAAAAATAAGGAAAGTTCTGTAATTCACCATCGAAAATAGGCAATTCAATACGAGGAATCTTAATGGTATGTTCATGAGTAATTGCATGTGTGACAGCTTGCGATTGTGGGTTTGGTCTCGCCATACTATTCAGAAGATCCTTAATAACATAAATCGTCAAACGCTGATAACGGCTGGTAATTAATACTATAATCGGGATCTACTTCCAAATTTAATAAATTTATATCATCAACCAAAGTTACAAATTCTTTACGTAATTGATCGAAGGCGCGAGCTTGTGATAAGAAACTATGCCGTGATTTTTCATCTGTTTTCGATGATAGTTGAAAGGTCTTATTTATTTGTGAGAAATAAAATTGACGCTTAGCTTCTAACAATTTAATTTGCATAAGGCGTCTACCTTTTCCTGCACCCTTTTCCGTCATTGTGAATATATTTATTAGAACACGATTATATAACAAAGTGAGTAAAAGTATCTTTATGGATACGAATTAAATGTAAATTAATTTTCACGCGTGATTGAAGAAATATAAATGATCAGGTTAGTTAATAAGTATTTAAGAATTTAACTGTATTTATAGTATACAAATTTTGCGAAGTCCACTAGAAAATCAAATCAGTTTTAACATATGTAATGCACTGCATACGTATATGTACCTAAGAAAAGGTACGATACGGTACTTAAACTGCACAACGGTTGCCGGCGCGGCGCGGCGGCACGGCGGGGATTGCTACCCACTAGGTAAATTAAATCGAACCGATTTAAATATTCACGGAGCGAGATGATAATAATAAGTAAGTAAATTAAATGCGACAGCTGTCTAAGAGTCGATGCGATTAGTTAGAATGTTTCTTAGTAATAAACATATAAAATCGATTTAGTAAACGGCTGGATGCGATGCGGAAAATACTTCAAAATTAAGTAATATTTACAAGTCGGCAACTAACCGTATAAAATAGTCGACATCAGTCTAAGTATGCCGCAGTAAGGTTCATTATCAATTACGTCGCAGAGTCGAATCACAATCGGATTTACGTATTTAGTAGTTCCAATCCAATTGTCATCCCGTGAGATGGACCATTTTTTAGTGGAAAATGGGAAATGGACTGTAGTTTGCATAGACGCTGGTTGATTCTACTCTACACCGTTGACTAGACAATATTACTAAGGTCGGACGTACCTGAATATACGAAGGCGGATGCTCCTGCCTGACACGGATTTCGGTCACTCACGATGATCCAATTCGATGAAGAACTTGCGGTAGAACATATATTTGGGAGCAGCGAAAAACGTGCCCTTTTCTCATGACGCGAGGCATTGACATTATATCGATCACGTGACGAAAAGATGTCCATAATTATAACGAAGCAATAGTAAGCAAGATTCACATCGACCCGCGAATTACACGGACATCCAAACCAAAGTAACATTGGTGTAACAGTTGCGAGTATTCAGAGCAAATAAACAAACAATTTTCGTTTATTAAACTAGCCCAACCAATACTAAAAGAGAGAAAAAAAGGTAAGTATATGCAAAAAAAGAACTTATCAGCTATATAAAGTCTACTAAAATTAATTAAAAATATAAAGTGGATATTACACTTCACTTCTTTGTTATATCTATGGGATATTACAACTAAATTAGCGTTCACAAGTAAAATTTGTAACATGGAAAGAAGAATGCAAAATTAAAATAGGATAATAAAAAAGTAGACCTTTACAGGTTGAATCTAATATGTTAAATTAATAACGTGCAGAGATGTTATAACAAATACAGAAAAAAAACAGGTTGGGCATGAAATAAAGTTAAGAGAAGAAAAAAAATGTAAAATGGATATAAATCAATGGATGCGTTTGGCAGAAAAAAGCGCTAGCAAGCGCTTGTAAGCAAAATGGCGATCGTAAGCGGTAAGCGCTGTCAAATCGTAAGTAGCTATTTTCCTCTAGGACACGAAGTTAGTTTTAACCGGGGAACCTAACCTAATTTAAATATATGTTTGTAAAGTATTCATATTAAAAACTTACCAATCTTGAATTTTTAATAACATGTATATGTCTATTCATGTCATTACATTACTTTAAACTAATATTGCACAAAACAACTTATAAACTCTACTTCAAAACAAACAAATTAAATAAGCAAAATGGCGGATTGTGTCAGCGCTACTGAAGTTAGCAAACGTGTCATGGCCGAAAACTGTTTAGTTTCGCCATTTTGCTTACAAGCGCTTGCTAGCGCTTTTTTCTGCCAAACGCACCCAATGTATTCCTAATGGTGGGGCTACATTACCGGGCTACGGCGAATATTCGGGCTACGGCGAATATTTGGGCTACGGCGATGTATGTGGCCGGCTACATCGTTGCAACGCGATGTACTCGCGTGCAGACGATGTAGCATCGCGGCACTGTCGGTAAACTGGCGCGCTTCAAAGGACTAGTCGCGACAATATTCGCTTGAGTGGCCACACCTACGTCACTTCAGTGTCGTCCAGACTTCGAAGCGGGACTGACGTTCTTGTGTTTTTGTACACTATGGAGTGGAGTAACGAAAAAGTGTTAGAGTTCATTCAATTTTATGAAACTGAGAATATTAAATGGAATCCTAGTAACCCAGACCACAAAAAGAAACATTTGGTATATGATGCGTGGGTTAGAATTAAAAACAAGCTCAGTTGGCCTACCACAGTAGAAGAAATGAAGGAGAAAAAAGATTCTTTGATGTCATATTACAGAGCCCATCTCAATAAAATTAAGAAATCGATGAAGTCACGAGCTGGCGCCGACGACATATACCAGACAAATTGGTTCGCCTTTTCGGCTACGACTAGTTTTCTTCAGCCTCTATACGATTGCCGCCGGACTATAGATACGCAGGTAAATAATAGCGAAACATGCTTATTTAATAGGTACATCCTTTATTTATACATATTCCACAAGTGTAACTTGATCAAAATAAAAACATACTTTTTATTGATGGAAAAAATGTTGAGCAAACTTGTCCCTGATTTGCGTTGGTATAAGACCGCCCCTACTAGCTACCGCCGAAAAAGGGCGCAAGGCAGTTTCTTCTGGTTATTCATTTCGCCATTTACCTGGAACTACTTGTCCATTTGTAATAGTGTCTGCAAAACCTGGTGGTATATACATATTATTTGATGATGAACTGTTTCTTAAGAAGTTGTGTAGTAATATACCAACATTAGAGGCGCGATCTGGTTGAAGTGCGATCGGCTTTCTGAGTACGCGAAATACGACAGACATAATTCCAAACACATTTTCTACAACTATACGGGCTTTTGACAGTTTCGTGTTAAATTTTCTTTTAATACTGCCTTCTGGATGATCTTCAGGGTATGGCTTCATTATGTTTGTATGTAAAGGAAATGCGTTGTCCGCCACAAATACAAAAGACACGATGATATCAGAACCGGGAAGCGCAGAAGGAGCTGGTAAATTAAGGGCATTTGTCTGTAGTTTCACAAGTAATGAGCTGTTTCTGAATACTCCACCGTCACTAATTCGACCTTGGGATGCTTGTAATTGTAAAACTCAGTTCCACTGTGAGTCGGTGATAAAATTTGAACATGTTTCCCATCAATGCTTCCAATACTATGTGGAAAGATATCACGAAAACTAGCTTCTTTTTGCAGCCATTCTTCTTCGTTTGCAGGCATCTGAAACAATTTTAATTATTATTTCAGAATGAAAGTGTACAAGAAGAGCATGCCGAGTGTGACGATGTAGATGAAGTAAATACAGTTAGTCGTAATACAGAATACCCAATTCTCACTAGTTCGCTTAACTCAAGAACAACAAATAAGCTAGCAAAAATTAATTTTCCTTCAGAAATATTACATGCGAAGAGACAAATGCAAGAGGCATTTGAGCACGTTAAAAGTAGCTAGCGACGAATATGAATTGTTTGGGAAATTGATTGCTAGTAAATTACGAAAAATTAAAAACCCTAATAGATGAGATATTCTTATGAATGATATGCATACTATGATTATTAAAGCATGCATGATAGATCGGGTTGACCGAGCACATCAATATCAATCTCTGATCCATCCATCACCATCTCCGTCACTACTGAACCAAACTTACCAGTCTTCAATCCATCCATCGCCATCTTCCTCACCACAGAGCCAAACCTACCAGTCACCGATCCATCCATCGCTATCTCCGTCACCACAGAACCAAACCTACCAGTCACCGATCCATTCATCACCATCTCCGTCACCACAGAATCAAACTTACCAGTCCCCGATCCTTCCATCGCAATCTCGGAGAGCCTCACAAATTATGTTGTCGGAGACCGGTGGAAATATCATTCATATAGAAATGACGGAGTTTTTTTATTGATTATAATATATGTTTTTTTCTTAAAAATTGGATGTCACCTAGGCACTTATATTGAAATAAAACTAAACTGTGAGTAAAATAATGTATTTTTCTTACCTTAATCTCGTCTGTCAAAACGATCAAGAGACTTGCACAAACTTCATGTACTATTTTGGAAATGAGTTGATGAGATATTTTGAAAAGATAATGAAGGCTTCGAAAATTATCTCCTGTCGCTAGATAACGTAGTCTTATTGCCAATCGCACTTTTGCAGGAATTGCTTTTCTGAATTTTGTATCTTTTTTGGTGATAAGTGGTGCGAGCTTCTGTAGTAGCATTTAAAAGTCAGATGTCGACATACGAAAAAATCCAGAGAATTCTATGCCAGACTCTAAGGTTAGCTCAGTTAACATACTTTCCATTCCTGTTCTATAAATGAGAAAATAAAGTAAAATTATTATACTCATGCCTCCAAAGTCTCACCACAAAATATTTAATGTCTCGCGCATAAAAAGTCAAAATATGAACATTATATCAAGTCTACCCATTATTTTAGCAATTGTGCTGTGCACTTACATCGTTCGCTTTCTGTGAATAGTAGTCATCCACCATCTCCTCTTTCTTCTCTTTTTTATATTATTTCGCTGATATTTGTACAAATGTAATAAATAATAATTTACTGACATATAATGCAAAGCCACTGCTTCCTCCATCGTCTTGGCCGCACAACTAAACAACGAATATTCGCCGTAGGCCGCTTTCTGAATCTTCGCCCGCCAATGTAGACAAGAACATCGTGTATGTCCGACAACGGATGTTTTGCGCGCCAACGCGATACGAATTTTCGCCCGCTAATATAGCCCCAGCATAACTATTAAAGTGAACGACAATTTCATTTTGAGCTAGTGCTTAGTTTAGCTAGCCACTACACGTAAAACACACTTATCACGGTATGGCGAAAAGGGATATGTTTTACAAAAATATTCACTATTAAGAAACCGCTTATCTAAAAAATTTTGAATTTCACCCACAGTAAGGGCATGAGTTTGTCCTCTATATATAAAAAAGTAGGGATGTCGTTACTCCAAAATAAAAGTTATTAGAGTCCAAACTTACAAGATGTGGGACACCAGCTGCAAAAGTGTGGTTATTCCGAGGATATACACTTCCGGCTAATAATGCATATATTTTCGAAAAGAGCTTTCCGAGACGCCGCCGATACCTTCAATTCACAGACTCCTGGTTCGCGAAACCACCTACCACGTGGTTTTCGTTTTTCCTCTAATAACTCAGGTGTCCTTTATCCAAAAATTCCAAATTTTTGGAGCATTGTGTCCCCAGCTGGCGCACAAAATCACTAAAAAGGTTGTGCAAGTTGTGGCGACTAATCGAGCGCCGCAAGCGATTTACTGCTTTGCTAATATGAGAAAAAACGGTTTTTCACTTAAAAAATCACTAAAAATTGTTTTTCGGCTAAAAAAATTACACCACTAGATGCGTCTCGTTAATACGCAAATGTTGACACTAAGTACACTCAAATGTGTTCACTTTTTTATCACTTTTCGAATTTTTTACTGCGGGAGCGTCACAGTTTCATGGTGTTTCGCTTTGTTTCCTTGTACTTGTACCTTGTACGTGCAGTTTATAGCTTTATACTATGGTATATTATCTATGCGCGGGGATAAGTTTATCTACTGTGGTGTGTGTGGTGGATAAAGCTTTGGCATAGGGATAAGACAATTTTATCCCTTGTTAGTGGATATAATCGGGAGATAAAAATTTTGTCTCCTGCCCATGCTAGCCCGGCTGGGGAGTAAAAGTACCGGAAAAGACGCGATGAAACTTCTGCCAACTCCGGAGCACACGTCTTGAGCACAATGGGAGGGACTCCACCAAGCCCACTCGACTTGTTTACGTCCAGGGAGAGGAGTGATTTGCGACCCGAGCGCTGTGTAAATTGCACATCCGGCATGGAACACCGACACTGCGGGATGGTCGGCGGCCCCAGTCATCGAGAGTCGAGTTGGACGCAAAGAAAGAGCTTAACAGATCGGCTTTCTCCTTTGCGGCATGGGACAGTGACTCGTCCTCTCTGTGCAGAGATGGAAGAAATGACTGACAGAAGATCCCTTGAACAGCCTTGGCGATAGACCAGAATGCACCGGTTCCCGAAGGAAGGCGAACTAGTTTCTCGCCAATTCTGCCGATGTATTCAGATCTTGCCTTGACAATGACTCTTTTGAAAGACCTGGAGGCGGAATTATACTTCTTTTTAAGAGCGCTGGTGTTTAAATCCCGCGACGTTGATGCGTCAACCTAGGCCCGGTAGTACTCCTGCTTATAGCGTGATTTTGATTTTTTACAGGAGCGACCAAACCATGGCTGGGATCTGCGTCCGATGGACACCACAGAGTATGGAATAAAAAGTTTCATACCCTGAAGTGCCACATCAGCGATAGAATCAGCAACAACTTTGGGATCGTCCGCCGAGCGAACTCGCCCCCAAGGGTAGGATGTAAAAAAGACCGCATCCTATTCTAGTCGACTGACCTACAGTGCCAAATAAGTCTTCAGCCTGCAGAATGCAACCGCGACGTTAATGTGTCTAACACCACACTCCGGACAAGACAGTGGTCCGACTAGCCTAAAGGGGCGTCAACGAAAACCTGATATTCGTCCAAATGAGAGGTCAGCAGAAGGTCCAACAGGGAAGGTGTATGACCTTCCATATCTGGAATCCACGTAGGCCAAATAACCAGTTGTTTTAAACCATACGCCTTGGTAAAGTCATAAACAGATCTCCCCGCATGATCAGTTAAACGTGAACCAAGCCATTCGGCGTGATGGGCGTTAAAATCGCCAAGGATCATGATCACTGTGGATGGAATCAGCTGTAGCACGGAATCTGTAGCCATTTGGACGTGTTCGATAAGTCGTTCTGTTTCGGCATTACCGCTATAGGACCTATAGAGACACTCGTAGGCGCGGGGATAGTTGTCGCTGTTTACTCGCAGCCATATGGTGGACTGGTCCGTGCCATCAAGATTGCCGAGGCGTCGAAAACAGATGTCCTCTCTGACGTATTCGCAAACTCCAGCCCCAGAAACAAAGAAGTGTTTTAATTTGTATCCCGGGTAGGAGAGATATGAAGTATCAGCTGGAGAGCGAACTTGAGTCTTGGTTAAAAAGAGTAAGGCCGACTTCGCCGACTCCAGATGGTAGTGGACAGCCTTTATCGTTGGAATGAATTCCCCTGTATTGTAAAAATTCACGGATAGCGTGACAGGGTTCGCCTTGGTCTCCGCTTGCTCCTTTGCACCTCCCCCACCCCCAGAATACGCGGGGCGGACTGAGGACCAACGCTCAGGGAAAGTAGGATAGCATGGTCGTGGATGTTCAGTGAGGAATTTCTCATCACCGGGCGTGCTAGTACCCTCCTGTGGTAGTTTTTTAATTGATTCCGCTGCCATGTTAAGGGGGTGGGGGGGAATTGGGCCTCCGGCCACCTGCACTTATCAAGCGAAACCCAGAGGTAAATCTCTACTTCACGCTGGTATTATGTGGGGCCATCCGTGCGATAGCGAAAGCTGCCGCGTGGCTCTACCGCTGTTAATAATAATTAAAAATAAGAATAATTAAAAATACTTATAGTAATGACCCCCAGATCCACTTTTCGTAGTCTGGCAGGGTAACTTCAGTGCTCATACTGCAATAAAAGGAACTCTAACTTTAGGAAATCGTGGAAATAGTTTGGGTGCTACTTATACTTCAGAATACTGCCACTCAAATACAAAAAAGAGCCAAAGCATAGTTTACTCGCATGGAACTACTTAGCTGGGTTTTGGAAGGCAAGGTTATGCGTAAGCACTAGTAGTTTGGAGCTGGAATAACTTGTATAACAACAGCCAACACCAAATTCAAAATGACTTTAAAAGTTCTTTTGAAGTGTGTGATAGGGAATGGCAAAGGGGTTATTGTCTAAAAGCTTCTGCCAACTAACATTATGACCACGGCGGAACTGGACAGTGTGATCACGGTAAAACCAACGTGTGAGATTATTTACGATAACAGATGAATACATGTGAAACTGTGGTGGGTAGTCTTGCGCCTGATCGGACTATGATAATGAAGGACTAGAGAGAGCATGTCGACCTGGTCTTGCGCATACATTCGTGCACTATAATTCTGTCCTACGCATATAAATAGTCTCCGTTTAGACTGGCTACAGTGACCGACATTAGGTCCTTTTGGAACAAAAATCTGCATAATACACAACACCGCGATTACCTTGTTCTGTGCCAGCCTTTTTGTTTTATTTTATTTAAAGGTAACAAAGGGTATTTTAACGGTGTTGGTAAAGTTTTAATGTTTGATCTGTGCGTTGGCATTGTTTTGAAAACGTTATTATAACGATGCTAAATAAATATTATTGTGGTCAAAAGAAAGACACGTTTTACAAAAATCAACAAAAATATTATTAAATAAATGAATAAACAGACCTTTATTTGATCACATTGATCTAAGGATTGTGTGTATGTACATTTTTGTGAGACATCAATACTACAATTTTTTGTATCACAGAAACTTCACCGTAACAACATATAGTAGTGGTAGATACTTAGTTTAAGATTTCAGGAAGTACAATAGCAGGAGCGGGGATTATGGGTGCAGCGACTATAACACCTTCAGGAGCTGCCGCTTCTTCAATGACTGTGACGGGCTCAGGAATAATAGGGTTGTCCACAACGATAACGGGTTCAGGGACAATGGGCTTGTCTACGACGATAACTGGGTCAGGGATAACGGCTTCATCGATAACCTGGACGGGAGTGGGTTCGGGGTAGGGGATAGTCTCTATTGCAACGGGAGATCCTGCAACATCAGAAGTCGATTTAATGTTCAGGACGATTTGAACCAGAGGAGCGCTGGCAGAG